AACATTGTATAGTGCTAGCCTTGAGCAAAATTGCTCAGGGACAGTGCCTAGGCCCCCAGTTCAAGCCCCCTGATTAGCAAAAAAAATAGATAGATATCTGACAGATAGCTGGCAGATAGCTGATAGATAGACAGATAGATGGAACAGAAATGGTAGAGGGCATGGCTCAAGTTGAAGACCCTGAGTTCAAATCCCAGTACTTTCCCTTTTCCCCCCCAGAAAGGATAATAGAGGTGGCTAGACTGTGTTGATACTTCCACAACAGTAAAAGGATCGCCTCCCTGGGCCCGCCTGGTCTGCCGTCTCCAGCTTCCCTGCCCGCCCTTCTTCCTGCAGATGTTCCAATTGGGTGACTATGTGACTGGCACCATCGGCCCCACCCACAACTTTGAGCCCCCGCACTATGACGGCATCGAGTGCCTGGCCATCCAGGGAGGCATCCTGTTCAGTGGCTCCAGGGACAACGGCATCAAGAAGTGGGACCTGGAGCAGCAGGAGCTCATCCAGGTGCGGTGGGGAGGGGAGGAGGGCCCGGGCAGATGGCTGGCTCTCCCCTCAGCCCAGCTGTCCCCACATACCCCCACCGCCCTGCAGCCTCTGCCCAGTCCACCCCTGGCCTCAGCCTGCTCCCAGTAGAGGCTTGGCTTCCAGCCCTTGTGTGTGAAGGTGAAGATGAAGCGCTGGGCTCTCTGTAGTGCAGCCTGGCTCGTCTGAGGGCTAGAGGCCTCTGTGCCATGCGGACTCTGAGGTTTGCAGAAACCAACTCTGGGAATCTGAGGTCCCCCACATGGGCCAGCCTAGCGTGGCTGGTGCCTCTCTGCATGCAGCTACGGAGTCTGGAAGCATCTCTCCAACACTGTCCACAGGGACACGTGTGCTCTGGGGACCCTGAGCAGGCAGTCCTCCTCCTCCTCCTCCTCCTCCTCCTCCTCCTCACCTCACCCATGATCCTCACACAGCAAATCCCCAATGCACACAAGGACTGGGTGTGTGCCCTGGCCTTCGTCCCCGGCCGCCCCATGCTGCTGAGCGCCTGCCGTGCGGGTGTCATCAAGGTGTGGAACGTGGACAACTTCACACCCATCGGCGAGATCAAGGGCCACGACAGCCCCATCAATGCCATCTGCACCAACAGCAAGCACATCTTCACGGCCTCCAGGTGAGCGCCGCGTGCAGAGGCCGCCCGGGCGCCGCCTCTCACATCGCCCTCCCTGCGTGCATGGGACAGGGGCGGGAGGCTTTCCCCGCAGCGTCCTCCCTGCCCGGTGGTCTGGGGGCTGCACAGAGCCGCCGGCTGCAGTGCACACTGGTCAGCTGTCCCCACGCCTCCCTGCTCCTCCCTCAGAGGTCCCCTATCTCCACCCTGTCCTGGTAGCTCGCAGACCCCAGAGCAGTCTCCCTCTACCCCCAGACCACCCACCCGCACCAGCCCCAGCTCTGCTCCCCCAGACCCCCTGCCCAGGGGAGCTACTCAGACGGGTGTCTTCTTTTTCCTTCTTGTTCCGACCATGTGTCCCTTCTCTCTCTGACCCCCTCCCCGTGTCCTCCTGCCTCTCCTCTCTGCCTCTCCGCTCTCTCCCCCCCAACAGTGACTGCCGGGTAAAGTTGTGGAATTACGTCCCTGGACTCACCCCCTGCCTTCCACGCCGAGTCTTGGCCATAAAAGGCCGCGCCACCACCCTGCCCTGACCCTCATCTCTCCCGTCTCCTCTCTCCGTCTTCCCCTCCTTCCTTTCCCTTCTCTCCATCTTCCCCCCTCTCCTTTCCCCTGTCTTTCCCCCACTTCGATCTGAGCTGCTTCTTCACGGTATGAGATTGTTTTACTCTTCCTTCCTTCTCTCCCTGCCTGTCCTCCCGAGTCCAGCCAGGCGGCCCCGCCCTCCCCTCTCCTCCTCCCAGCCTGGGGCCAAGCCCAGGGCGGGCGGGCGTGCCAGGTAGCAGAGAGCCGAGGGGAAGCATTCAGGTCTGAACAAAACCAGAGAGCCACAGGAAAGCTCAGGAGGGGTGGGGGCGTCTCTCCTGTGGGGTCTCTGAGACCACAGGCCCACCCTCTGCCTAGTTCCCCCGCCATGCAGTCCACCTGACTCTGCCCAGCCCCGTGGGGACGCAGGGACTCAGTCCGTCCTTTACTTCAGCCCGCCCCGCCTGGAGATCTGACCTGCCCCTCTCTGTCCTCTCTCCAGTGACCTGACAGTGAAGCTCTGGAGTGTCCGGCGGCTGCAGGCGGCCCACGCCAGGAGTTAGGTCAGCCTGCACCGTGAGGGGCAGCAGCTGTGGCCAGCTGCCCTGGGGACAGAGGGTGCAGCCCTTCTGCTTCCTGCCTCTGGGCCTTCCCACAGGATGCTGTCCCTGTGTCCTCCCCTCCCCCCCCCCACTTCTTGGGAGCCTCCTGGGGAGAGAGGTGGGAGGGGAAATTAAGCTGTGAAGCCAAAGGGTATTATCTCCTCTCCACACCTCTCTAGTGGCCCCCTGGCCTCCCCTCCCGGCCACACTGCCTCCTGCTGAGCCAATGCTGCCCCACCCTGTCCTCCAGGCCGTTGGCCAGGTACAGGGCGAGGCCCTCTAGGGAAGGAGAGGCTGCCCTAGCCCCATCCGTGCTCCAGTAAGCTGGCATCCCCCATATCTCCTCCTGGCCCACCTGTAGGGCCACTGCACCTGCCTCTGAGCCCAACAGGGTCGTCCTCAGGTAACCATGGAAACCAGGTGTAGGCAGCTGGGCCTTGCAGCTGATTCTGAACCCTGTGGTCACCAGCAGCTCCCAGTGGGCCTCGACCATTCCATAGCACGCACAGTGCCGCAGTGGAGCTGCTGGAAAGATTCCTTTGGGGACGTGGTCAGGAATACGTCAGTTATTTAATTTATTTTTTTTTACTTTTTTAATTTTTTGTGCTGGTACTGAGGCTTGAATTCAGGGCCTGGGTGCTCTCCCTGAGCTTTTTCACTCAAGGCTGACTCTCTACCACTTGAACCACAGCTCAATTTGCAGCTTTTTTTTTTTTTTTTGGCTGGTTAATTGGATGGAGATAAGAATCTCTCGGACTTCCTTGCCTGGGCTGGCTTCGAATCACAATCCTCAGCCTCCTGAGTAACTAGGATTACAGGCGTGAGCCACTGGTGCCAGGCTTGGTTTTTTGTTTTGTTTAAATTTTATCTTTATGTTTTGCTATTGATCCTGGAAACTGACTTGAAGTTTCTTCCCACATGTTCTTTTTGTCAGCTCTTGGGGGGCCTGCTCCCCAGCTCAGTGCCACCTCCTCTGCTATGCAGTCGGGAGCTGTCCCTCCACCCTGCAGCTCCGGCCTCTCCCCAGCTCTGCCCATGGGACCCTTCAGTGCGGCCCGGGCCTCTAGGCCGCCTGATGCCACAGTGCCTTCCTCCGTCCCGGGGCCTGGCACCGTGCTGGGCAGCCTTAAGCCAGCCATGCCCGCCACTCCACACGTGTCTTCTACTCAAGGGTCTCATGCCTGCTGCCCTCGAAGGTGGAAGGCCACCTTTCAGCCCAGGGGAGGGAGGGGGAAGGCGGCTAGAGAGCCGATTGGGTGGGGAGACTTCTCAGCACCTCCCCCTAGCCTCCCGCCAACCATGTTTTCACCCAGAGCCTCTCCAGACTCTTCCCTGTGCTCATTCTGGACACAGGTCTTCAAGCTGTTAAAAACCAGCCTAGGGCATAGCCTTGCCTTCTAGATGAGCAAGGAGAGCAATTGGTTTTGTCTTCTTGGGGTGGGGGGGGGGGAGGGTAATGGAGACAGCGCCCCCTGTTGGGACAACTCTGCATTTACAGGAGTGGCCTTGGGTTCTCCATCTTCACCTCCCAGCCCAGCCCAAGCCCAGCCATGCTGTTTGATCCCTTGCTTCATTGGTCTTCTGCTTCCCCGCAGAAGCCAGGAATTCCAGTTGCATTCAGAGGACCTTGTGACTTGTGGACTTAGCAGAGCTGGCTCAGTGTTTCTGTCCCCTGCGCGTCCCTCTCTGTGGCCAGGGCACGCCACGCACGCCTCTGGTGTGGGAGGGTCACACTCCAGCTCACTGATCCACCTCCTCCCCTGGACTCCCCTGGAACTGCCCCAAGGCTAAAGCTTCTGTGCTTGCTTGTTGGTGGCGGCACCTGCCAGACGCGGTGTTGCGTCTGGGTGAGCCGGTGCGCTGCACGCCGCCGCTCGGATCCTGCTCTCCTGCTGTCTGGACAGTCAGCCTGGGATGGGGCAGAAACCCTTCTCCTTCCGCCCGTGACGGAGCACTGGGAGCCGGCCAGCTCTCACGAGGGACCACATCTCCTCCCCTCCATCCGTCCATCCGTCCGTCCCCATCACTGACGTAAAGCTTTGACCTGGACCCTGCATGACTGTTTACAAACTGAGAAACACAAGAGGCGCGTGCCCCGCCCCGCCCCGCCCCGCCCCGGGCAGCTGTACTGTAGCCGCAAGACTTTGGTCTTAGGGCCCCCTCGAGAGGTGCTCAAGGTGCTCTTGTCTCCGCCCCTTTCTGCATTTCTGACGGGTCTCTACCTCACAGCAGGGCGGGCTCTGCTGTCCCAGCGTGTCATGAACTAAACTTGAAGTCCTCTGGGAGCCCGGCTGCCCCATCCTCCTCTCCCCCCACCCACACTGAGCGGCATTGGAGGGGACAGGAGGTACATACCGGGCAGGGCTCCCCCTCCCCCCCTTGCACAAGCATCTGAAGTGTTGGAAGCACAAACTGGTTGTGATTTGAGCACAATGGCAGGGCTGCCGGCAAGTGGGGTGCGCTCAGAGGCCCTTCCATGAGCGGGGTCCCAGGTTAGATCAGGATGCCCGTATCTGAGAGTAGGTCCTGCCCTGGCTCAGACCCCGGCTTTGGCCTGTGGTTTGTGCTTGTACTTCTGAAATTCAGCCTATGACTTCCTGTGCCATCCTAAAATGTGAGGCCCAAGCCACGCACATCTGTGTGCGGCAGGTCCTTCCTAGACCCCACGCCCCTGGTCTTTAAATGCCTGGCCACAGGCCGCCAAAGCGCCTCCCGGCCTAAACACTGGGACCCAGGTTCTCTGTCTCGTGGGCAGGGCCCCTGTGCAGCTTTCGCCCGGATGAAAGGCCCGTGTTCCATCCCCACGACCCCAGAGCCTTCTCCACACAGTGCTGGGCCAGGACCCCGCTCTCAGTATTAGCCAGATCAGTGTTCAGTGACTCACCCCTCCGGCCACCATCTGCAGAGGCAGCACCGGAGCCGCCTTTGGAGACATGCCCTTCAAGTGGTCAGGGCGTGGCCTCTGCCCACCCATCCTGCCCCAGCTGCTTTGGACCCTCAGCTGCCCGGCCCTGCTGCCCACCTGGGCTGTGTGGCCGGGACAGACAATAATTGAAAGCACAAAACCACACAGGGACAAGGCTGAGTCGCTGGGACTTCTGCCCTCCTGTGGGGACAGCCCCCTGGGAAGCCAGAACCGGTGTGTCTTCAGCCAGGCCGCTGTGGGGCTGGGCTGGGTGGAGGGCACCTCCTCCCTGTTTGGTCAGGCCCTGCCCGTGCCTGGTACATTCCTGTGGGCTGAGCCTGCCCTGTGGGAGCAGTAAACCCCCTCCTAGCACAGGGCCCACACCTGGGCAGCTACCCCTTTGCCCTCTGCAACAAAAAATTGCTTCCTGCTTTTTTTCCTCTGGGTACACTTCCTGCTGAGCCCCGCCCTCCATGCCCCCCCCCCCGTCTTCTCAGCCCTTTACATATAAGAAGAGTCTACAGGGAACGTTCCATTTCTTTGGCATCTTTAGTCTGTCCCTATGCCTGCCCTCCCTCCATGTCTAGCCCTCAGATAGCTCCCCCGCCCCCAGCTCCCAGCATCCCGAGTCCTTCAAACCTGAGTTCCAAGGGCCTTGCTAGGAAAGTGGGAAGTAGACACTGCTTGAGGAAGAGCCAAGGGTCAGAAAAGACCCTGGACATGAATTGGAATCCCACTCTGCCCGCCCTCACCCCTGCCCGGGCTGGGTTTCATGCGGCTCACGCAGTCCTCTACGAAGTGGTAGCACAAGGTGTATATATGTTTTGTACCTCTGCTGATTGTACATAGTGTATGAAAGTTATTTAAGCTTCATGTTGTACATTTCTGTCCCTAGATTGGATGTGTGTTCTCGGTTGTCATCAATAAAACCCAAATGATCCTGTGTGTGGGGCTGCTGGTGGCAGGGGCGATGCGGGCAGGGCTGGCCTCTCAGGAAGCAGCACCTGGAGAGAGTTGCATTCCCCACCTTCCCTGTGTGTGGCCTCCTGGGGCCGAGGCAGGTGCAGCTGCTAAAACGGAACAGAGGGCGCTGGCATTTGCTGAGCATCTGCCTTATCCCAGTTCATGGCTCTTCCCTGCCTCGTGTGACAGACTATCTCATTAATGAGATGAGGGACATCTCCAGCTTCAGTAACTTGTCCAGGCTCACAATTGGCAAAGGCACAACCAGGAGTTTGCCCAACTGCAGCCCCACTTTGCCTCTCACTAATGTATTTGATGCCTTCCTGGAACCCGCTGTGTGTGGTGTGTACTGGACATATTCTCTTCACTTAGAAGACAAATATAAACGGCTCATATATGAAAACACCTCTACCTTGGTTGTTTTTGGTTCTGTTGGCTTGGGTTTTGTGTGTGTGTGTGTGTGTGTCAACATTAGGGCTTGAACTCAGAAGCATTTTGCTGGTTAATTGGAGATCAAGTATCACAGATTGTACTGCCCAAGCTGGCTTTGAGCCTCAGTCCTCAGATCTCCTGAGTAGCTAGGATTACAGGGGGGAGTTTCCAACACCTGGCTTGATTATGATTTTTAATGTGCATATGCCAGCCCTGGGACTTGAACTCAGGGCCTGAGTTCTATCCCTGAACTTTTGTGCTCAAAGCTAGTGCTCTACGACTTTGAGCCATAGAGCTGTTTCCAGCTTTTTAGTAGTTAGATGGTGATAAGAATCTCATTAACTTTACTGCCTTGGCTGGATTTGAACTTCAATCCTCAGCTCTGTCTCCTCCTGAGTAGCTAGTATTACAGACATAAGCCACCAACACTGGCTTTTGGTTCTAAGTTTGATTTCTAGGTCAGTGCTTTTCGGATTTTAAAAAGCTGTATTCCACTGGGCAAATCCCCTGTGCACCAGGCCATCTGGTAGGCCTTAGGGAAGCAAGGTGTAGTGATTGGGTTTGGCTAACTGATCTTCACCCCGCACCACTCTCCCATCCCACCCTGCCTCCCACAGGACAAAGCCTTCTGTGGATTACAGAAGTGCCAACTGAGTGTGGCCAGCTGCGGCCTGGCGGGTCAGTGGAGAAAACCCAGAAGCCAGGTGCTAGTGACTCCTTCCTTACTGTGCATCCCCTCCACCCCAACCCACCAGAAGACTGGCAGCAGAGTCTTTCTAAACTCTGAGCGCCTTGGGTCTTGAGGATACCAGTACTGTGGGGGAAGATGCAGGGTTAAGAGATTCATTTTGTGCCAGTGGCTCACGCCTGTAATCCTAGCTACCCAGGAGGCTGAGATCAGAATTGAGGATCAAAGCCAGCCTGGGCAGAAAAGTCCCATAAGATACTAATCTTCAATTAACTACCAAAACCTGGAAGGGGCACTGTGGCTCAAGTGATAGAATGCTAGCTTTGAGCAAAAAACTCAGGGACAGCAACCAGACCCTGAGTTCAAATCCTAGGACTAACACACACACACACATTCGTTTTTTCAAATTGTGGGATGTTTTCCCCAAGATTATAAATAGTATCTGCTTACTTTACAAACTAGAAAATCCTAGTACCACAAAAAAAGAAGAAAAAAAAACAAGAGTCAGGAAAACTTCCATTTAGGATCAATGGGCAACTTTCCCAAACCAAGGAAATGGCCCTTCTCAGAATCTGATGAGAGTATTCATTTCCTGGGCTGGGTGGCATCTTAAAAGATCATTTTCCAACCTTCCTGTTTTATACATAAAGGAAATTGAGGCCCAGAAGAATTGGCCAAGGTCATCCTGGCCCTAAAACCCATGAGGTTGTCAAAAGTGATGAGCAGAAGGTGGGCAACAGAGCATTCTTGGAAGTGTGTCTTATCCCAAAGCTGTAACCTGATAACAACAGGCTTGGGGGGGGGGGAGCAGAGGAAATGGGACTTGAATTCAGTGCTTTGCACTCTTGCTTGGTTCTTTTTCTTTTCCCTCAAGGCTAATGCTCTACATTTGAGCCATACTTCCATTTCCAGGTTTTTGCTAGTTAATTGGAGAGAAGAATCTCTGAGACTTAGCTGCCTGGGGCTGGCTTTGAACCTTGATCCTCCAACTTCAGCTAGAATTTCAAGCAAGAGCCACCACAACTTGGCCTGTTAATCGATTTTTTTTTTTAAAGATCTCCCACTTATCACTGTTACCGTGAAGCAAGACTGTCCTTTGGGGGCTATGTGTGTGTTGCTAGATTTGCTATCAGTGAAGTATTTAGCTCGTGGCCCCTAGTGACTGCTGGTGGCAGCTGTGGTGGGAGCCAGGTACAGGGGGAGGGCTCGAATGGGCACAGCATTCTAGTGAATGACGAGGCCGGCGTGGCCTTGTTTCCAAGAATAAGGAACTCCAGCAGCTGGGCGCAGGCAAAGATAAGGAAGAAACATGGTGGGGGTATGAGCAAGGAGGGGTACCCTACGTTTCTGAAGGCTTACAGTCAGGCTACAGAGGCCTCACGATGGACAGAGCTCTAGCCAGAACATGCTGGTCCATGGGGGAGATTATTGGGATGTTAGGCTAGAGCAGTAAAAGATCCTGGACAGACAGAGACATTTCAGGGGCATACAGCCACCCAGTCCCAGATGAGACTGGTTCCAGCAGGGCCGTGATAGGGGTGGGAGGAGGGCAGGGAAGGGTGGTGCTGAGCTGTGCTCTTGGCACAGGAAGAGGACACTGCCGGCTCTTTGGAGCCCCGGTGCTGCCTCTCAGGCTGTGGTTTGGGCTGCACCAAAGGGTGGCCACAGTGCTGTTTTTATAGAGCAGCTCTGCCCAGGGCTACGTGGTCCCCGAGCTCTGATCTTTCAGGAGATTATGGGAGTTGGCCAAGAACCCTTCCAAATTACTTTCCTCATTCAGCTAGCTGGATTAGACTCTGTTGCTTGTCACTAAGAACCCTTCCCCGGAAGCTGGGCGCCAGTGCTTCAGGCCCGTAATCCTAGCTAGATCTGAGGAGTGTGTTTCATCTACAGTTTTTTGTTTTTTTGAGGAGCGTGTTTCAAAGCCAGCCTGGGCAGGAAAGTCACAAGACTCTTATCTCCAATTAACCACCAAAAGGCAAGACACTGTCTCAAAAAAGCAAAACAATACCAGACAATACAGCTGGATTCTAAATACCTCACGTGTCCAAACATCCAGCTCACGGCTCCGCTGACTCAAAGGAGGTCTGGCTCCCATCATGGGCTGAACGGAGGAGGGCGCAGCGGGGAGGGAGGGAAGTAGCCAGCCTGACCCAGATACTCGCTGCAGACAGCAACTGGAGTGGCCAAGAACTGACATTTCCACAAAAGTGATTGCTTTCCCTTTTATTAACAAAGCTCCGCTGTCAGTCTTAGAGCCAGGTCTCCTTCTGGGGTGACAGGTTTAAAAGTAGCTCCTTTGGGGTCTCCTCCAGCAGAGGCAGGACCCGCGGGGCTGGGCCCGCAGCAGCTGGTCCTTGGCTTCCAGGACGTAGAGAGTCTGCCTGGTGAGGCAGCTGACCATGGGGTCCGGGTCTTTCTCCATGAGCCTTAAGGCTGTAACACAGACACACAGACACAGTTCCAGATGGAGCTGTGGACAGAGAACGAATGGGCACACGGCCCCAGCCCTGCTTCTGGGAAGGAAGAGGGGCGTGAGTGAGTCTCTTCTAGAATTCTGCTTTGTTGCAACCAAGACCCCAAACCTGCCCCAGGCTCAGGATGAGGCGAGGCCGCTGCTCTGCATCCTGCAGCCCTCGCGCACGCCTCGGTCTTCTCGTCCCCCCCCCCTACCCCCAGCTCTGCCTCCTCCTCCAGGAGAAAAGCTCTGAAAAAACCCGCCAGGACAAGTGACTGGGAGGACAAGTGACTGGCAGGCGCAGAGCCACACCGGGAGCCACGGAGCCAGGGACACGTGTGGAAAGTCGGCGTGAGGGGAAGGAGGGCGTGTGAAGGACGCATCCGAGAGGGACCGGGATACAGCATGAGCCGCCTGTGCTCTCCGGAGGGGAGGGGCAGGAACCCCGGGGCCCCCAGTGAAGACGGTGGTGGTCTCTCCAAGGAAGAGCTGCACCTCCCTGGCTGACAAGGGCAGTGAGAGCGCAGAATGAATATGGGCCCAGACCAACACCCCAAAACCTAAGCGCCTTGGGATGAGCTTTCTCTTCCCTCCTTCTGGAGTGACTGTCTCTGCGCGTCACCCTGCCTACTTCCCCTGGCTCCCGAGCCTTCGTGCCGACGCGGGCGCCCTCAGCAAGGCAAGCAGCAGGGACGGGAGCTCTACTCACAGGAATACTCTTCCTCGATCCCATCCACCTCTTCCTGGTTGAGGACCTGGATGATCTGGCCTGCGCGGGGTCACACAGAGGCCCCTCAGTCCCCCCTCCAAATCCCAGGGCCCCTGGCTGCAAGTGCTCTCCAGCGCCTCACTGTTCACACAGCCTCCCTCTGTCTGTCCATCCATCCCTCCTTTGGCCACCAGCCTCAGGTCTGGACTCCCCCTTCCCCTAGAAAGTCAAAATTGCTTCCCTTGGTTCCCCGCAGGCCTGTGGGGTGGAGGGAGGCGGGTCCCCTCCCCACAGCAGCACCCTCAGCCCTGATGCTCCACCCTTCGGGAGCCCCTGGCCCTGGAACCAAACCCGGAGGTTCAGTGCAGGGGCAGGGAGCAGGGGGAGGCAGTCCAGTAGGACCCCCATGCATCCCATAATCAGTCCTCCTACACCAGGTCCCTGGCCTGTTCAGAGAACCCTGCTCAAGGACAGCCTGGTCCCAAGCAGCCAGAGGCCATACCTGCAAACCACACAGCTATCAGGCGGATGGGGGTCTGGGGGCTCTTGAAGAGAACTATGCACTGCTTCAGAAACCAGGGGGCTTTGTTTGTCTCCTGCTGCAGCTATGAGAAGAGGTGGTAGGTGGCAGCAAGGGCAAGTTGCCAGGCCTCCCGCCTTTCCAGCCATCTTGACGCTAAACTCCAATGATCTTCTGAGTATTAAAAAAAAATCTTTCACTAACCTTTTACGTCTCCACCCCTTGTGCTCTGGCACCTGCCATCTTCTTCCCCCATGAAGCCTTCCTGGATTGCCCAGGCCACTGGCATCCCCATGTGTACAAAGCCCAATACCACCATACGGGCTTGATCCACAGCCCTGCTTCACCCCGGCCTTACCTGGCTCTGCTCTCTTGGTCCCTTCTCTCTGTCCAAGCATTACCCTGCCTACTCCTAGGTGGGGGTGCCCACCCTCAACACACGGGCACGATGGCCACTTGGCTGCTGGCTTACCAGGGCTCTGAGGATGGTAAACACATCGTGGTTGACAAAGACTGCTTTGAGCCTAGACCAGCCCAGGATGGTGGCTGTCTTGTAGAGGCTGTACTGGCAGATCTGGGGAGACAAGAGGCTCCAAATGAGGGACACAGGGAGGGGGGCTGACCGTCTCTGAGGTCAGAGTCTAACAGGTTTCTTCAGTGTCATGCGGAGTGAGCCCCCAGTTTACCTGCTAGGCCTTGACCTCTCACAACACCTGGGACCAACCTTGGCCCCTCGGCCTGGCCACTCACCTGGCGCACCTCCATGTTCTCGTCCTTCATGTGCAGCACCAGGAGGACTATCAAGTTGAGGATCTGGTGCCTCAGGGGGAAGATGAGGACATTCCTCTTGGTCTTGGTTAGGAGACTTGCATAGATCTGGAAGGCCTTCAAGCGCAGAGGCTGCGACTCCTGTGTGGAAAGGACACTTCTTCCCCAGTGTCCCAGGCTATGAGGATGAGAAGCCCTCTGGGAAAGCCCCGCCCACGCCCTCATCACCCAGCCCCCAGGGGAGACTTCACCGCCTCAAAGAAGGTGGACAGCATGAAGGCCAGCTGAGTGAGGAAGGAAGAGGAGTACTGCCACTTGAGGTCCTGCAGGAGGCGCTGCAGCGTCAGGAAGGTCTCCATCACAATGTCAGGGTTGGAGGAGTAACAGCAGTTGAGCACGTGGGGCTGCAGGATGCCCAGCCGTCTCAGCTGTGGAGTGGAGCGAGTCCCGAAACCATTCCCGCTGGCCGCTCCCACCGCCGGCCAGTCCCTCACAGGCTCTTGCATGCCTGACCTGGGACCGGCCAGCCAGTGGGTGGTAGATTGAGGGTCATCTTCTTCTACCAGCAGCCATCCTGTCACAGGAGAGCACTCGGGCAGGTGCTTTTTGTCCCTCGCAAGGAGACATTCTAGAGGAGGCCCCACTTCCACTACATCCTGTTCCCCTTCCCTGCCTTCCTTGTCCCTGATGATGATTCCAATCTCCAGGGACCTGTAGGAAACATCTGGGTTCCTGGGATTGGCTGGGTTAATCTCTCAAGTGGCCCACAGAACAACTCCCCCAAGGAGTTAAATACAACTCCTATAAGGAGTTAAGTATGAATGGCTCCACCCCCATCCTGTCCCTGGGGACTATAAGGATTTGCTTTCAATTCCAAGAGTATGTTCCACTCCATCTACAACTGCACCTAACATCTCCTGAGAGCATGGCCTTGGCCCCTGCCCCACTTACCAAGTTCTTGTGCTTTGCGAAGGTCTCCGTCACCTGCAGCAGGACTTTCACTGTGGCGAGCTCCTCGCTCTTGAACCAGCTTGCCAGAATATGGGTGGCAATGTCATCCACATTGGAACTCACATCCGGGCAGTGGAGCAGCTGCAAGAAGCCAAGAAAGACTGAAAGGTGGGCAAAGAGAACACAACTTAGAATCTAGATTTCTTCTTATTAGATTTGGAAGTATTATTAGAAAGGCCAAAGCTTAGTTAAAAGGCCAATTAATAGCCAAGTGCCAGTGGCTCACTGCTGAAATTCTGGCTACACAGGAGGCTGAGATTTGAGGATTGTGGTTCAAAACTAGCTCAGGCAGGAAAGTCTATGAGATTCTAATCTGCAATTAAACCACCCAAAAGTCAGAAATGGAGCTGTGGCTCAAAGGATAGAATGGCAGCCTTGAGCAAAAGAGCAAAAAGATATCACTCAGGCCCTGAGTTCAAGCCCGAGTACTGGTACAAAAAAAAAAATCCAGGCCTTGGTTGTGGTGGTAGCCATGCACAGATGATCAGAAATGTGTGTTGATTCATTTAGGAAAAGCTTATCAAGGAGGTGGAACAGGGAATTGAAAAACAGGGAATTTTCATGAGTATCTAGGCGCACGTGCACGCGTGTGCGTGTGCGTGTGTGTGTGTGTGTGTGTGTGTGTGTGTGTGTGTGTTGGTCCTAGGGCTTAAACTCAGGGCCTGAGTGCTGTACTCAGGGCCTGAGTGCTGTCCCTATACGCTTTTGCTCAAAGCTAACACTCTACCACTTGAGCCACAGCTCCATTTCTGGTTTTCTGGAGGTAACTTAGAGATATGAGTCTCAAGGACTTTCCTGTCCAGGCTGGTTTCCAACTGTGATTCTCAGATCTCAGCCTCCTGAGTAGCTAGGATTAAGGTGTGAGCCATCAGCACCCAGCAACATAACAGTTTTATAACCTCTTACATTTTCCCCCCATATTTTCTAAATCTTCTACACATTGTGTTTCCTGGAAAATGACTGAATTCTACTGAGTTACTCAGGGATGATGATCAAAGATTAGTTTTCAAAGGTCAATCAGGGCTGAAGTGGCTGAAAGGCAGAGCTGTGTTGCTCCAGAAAGTCTGTCAGGGTGAAACTGCCTTGAAAGTCAAGAAAGAACCAGCTGGGCGCCGGTGGCTCACGCCTGTCATCCTAGCTACTCAGGAGGCTGAGATCTGAGGATCGTGGTTCAAAGCCAGCCTGGGCAGCAAAGTCTGTGAGATCCTTATCTCCAATGAACCACCAGAAAACTGGAAGTGGCGCTGTGGCTCAAGTGGTAGAGCACTCGCCTTGAGCTGAAGAGCTGAGGGACAGCACCCAGGCCAGAGTTCAAGCCCCAT